CTAACCCTAACCCTAACCCTAAAAAAAAAAAAAATTTAATTAAATTAAAGTGCCTAGTAGTCATATCATATCGCATCTTTCTGCCAACACCCAATTTTCTTCGCGGAAATGACTTCCGGTTTACGTACATTTTTCTCCTGTGTATTCGACCTATCTGACCCGTTCTCCCAGATATCTGTTTACTAATTTGTTGATTTGCCAAACGTAAAAAGATGGTTAATTTGTTGAGGACAACCGAAAAACGCGGTTTGTGGTTTTCAGTGGTTGATTACCATTGGAAGATGTGTTATCGCCATCTCGACAAGAATTACTGAGTTTTGCTCACAGCTGATGTAGAAAGCGTTTCGTTCCATGAGGTGTATAAGATGGAGTTTATCTTTAAAATGATCAAATCAATATGTATTATGTAATATACATGTACCTTTATGATTGGGCAAGTTATTATTCTGCTTTCCAGATGAATCTTTTCATTTTCAAGCTAACTGGCGAGACCACCGGGTTTACTTTCTGGGGAATATTTTTCGTTACCAAAGAGATGATTCTTACGGTAAGGAAAGTCGTTTATATATATATATATATATTATTTACATATTTTCTTTTGTCGCCTAACAACTCGTAACAAATCTGTCATGCACTCTTGTGAAATCTAGAAAGGGGTTTAATATCGCATTTATATCGACATTCCGATAACATTTTTGCATTTGCTCAGACTGATGTAACTTGAATGATATTAGGAGTGTCATAATATAGACAATCTACGTTATGACACTCCTGATTATATGTTAACTGTGAGGTACACGAGCACTGCGGTTCATGCCTCGGCCAAGTGATATCTACGATTGCAAACCGCATTTCGAACACGCGACTGTCGATCGATCCCCGTATCGCCCCGTATCGTTATTAGGAAATGTCGTCTCAATGGCGTTGAAAAACACCGCCTCTTGTTTTCTTAACGATAACGCACGTGAGCACAAGCCTCTTCTCGCTTCCGGCAATTTTCTGCACCCGGCAGATAGGTGCGATATGATATGACTACTAGGCACTTAGGATATGACTACTAGGCACTTAAAAAAAACCTAACCCTAACCCTAACCCT